CAGTCGGGGGCCTGACCGCCGGCAAAACCACTCCCGCCGGCAACGTCAGGGCCAAATTCCACACCTTCGGTCCAGAAGTCCCCAGGACAGGACCCATGTGCCAGCACCAAGTCCTGGGAGGCGAAGGCCCAGGCAGAGACAATCAGGGACATCGTGCAGGCGAAACTGCTCCCGCCTGCAACGTCAGACCCCGAATCCATCCGGCCGGTCCAGAAGTCCCCATGGCAGGAGCCATGTGAGATCACCGAGTGCCAGGAAAAGACGCCGCAGCCAGGAAACATCGAGGACATCCCGCACACAAAATCACTCCCACCTGCAACGTCAGACCCCAAATCCATCTGACTGGTCCAGAAGTCGCCGTGAAAGAAACTGTGTGAGAGCACCAAGTGCTGGGAGCCACATCCCCAGCCAGGAAGCATCAGGGACATCCCGCAGGCGAAACCGCTCCCGCCTGCAACGTCAGACCCCAAATCCATCTGGACGGACCAGAAGTCCCCATGACAGGAACTGTGCACCAGCACCCAGTGCTGGGAGGCAAAACCCAAGGGAGACAGAACCAGAACTTCCCAAAGGCAACACCATTCCCACCAGCAGCCTCGGATCCCAAATTCATCCAGCGGATCCAGAAGTCGCCATGACAGGAGCCGTATTAGAGCACCCAGTGCTGGGAGCTCCACTCACTGGTGGGATGGTGAGACAGAGACCCACCACTGACACGTCTCATGTCAGACAGGGAGGAGGAGGCCCCCAGAGGGAGGGAACCAGGTGAGAGCAAAGTGCCCCTCCCACAACCTGGCAGAGGGGCTGTCGGGGCGGGCAGCACAGGGTCCATGCCCATGGCCATTGTCTCTCTCCCCTCCAGCATGCCTGCTGTGTCAGCCAGCAGAGGCTGACCTGGACACCTGCGGGGAAAAACTCCAGAGAAATGGATTCTGTGCCCACGAGTTCTGCCTGGTGAGTTGCTCCATGGGCTCCCTCCATTTTTTGACAGGCAGTCCCTGCCACTCTCTCCTCATCAGTGTGTGTCATTTTTCCTGCAGTTTTTTGCCAGCCACCTTCCTCAGCACAATGATGATCAAGTAGGACTCCAGGGCTTTCCCCCAAGGGATATCCAAGATGTATCTCCTGGGCAGCAGAGCAAGTGAGAACCTGACAAGAGCAGGGAGATTTGGGCCAGGCGAGGTTTGCTGGAGCTTAGCCCAGACCCCAAGCAAGAAAGCCCAGCCCTTCCAACCAGCTGTGGGACAAGGAGGAGGC